GCTAACTCTTGGAGCTGAGGGTGTGCTTTCATGAAGCTAATTCGGATGGTGTTCCTTCGGACGAAGTTCATGGCCTACAAAACAAAAACAAAGATAAATTCCTAAATCCTTGAAATGGTTAGTGAGAATGTGTATGATGTTATGATGTTTATGATGTTATGTACAAGTAAGCATATACGCACAAGGCAAACCAAGTCCTTAGGTTTAGGCTTGCATAGAGTCTTATAGGTAAGTACCCTCTTTAAGTTTTAGTTGGCTCAAACATGTCCTAGTAATAGTAACTGGGTTCTAAAGGGTCTCAATATCACTGACTTTTCTTTTAGGCATTGTCTCAGCACAATCAATCTTTTCTTGCGGTCGAGATATCCCAAAAGTACAATCTCATTGAGTGTAGTATAGAGTATCAACCAATTTTCAGCTTTCCACCGAAACCGGTTATCTCACTACGTCCTAATGGCCAAGTTGTTCAATTAAAGTTATAAGGTCAGTTAGTGCTTCATGACGCCACTCAGCGGCCCCATATTCTCCTCTATTCAACATAAGGGATACCCGTACCCATAAATGCGTCACACTAACATAGCCATTGTTTCAACCATATCGATCTACACCGTACAATTTTCACAATCTATTGCTACTTACCTAAAAAGGTGTCCTAGATCCGGGTAGAGGATCAAAGCAAGCCCAAACAAGGAACCATAATGTAAAGCAAACAAGTCAAACAATGAAAGAAAGTAAAGGTGATCTATCCCAAAGGTAACCCCACTTTTAAGAATATCCTCAGCAGAGTCGCCAGTTCTGTAACTCGGTGGGAGAACTGACTTGGGTGTTTTGCGTTTTATCGCAATTGTTTCGGTTAGCAAGAGTCGCCACCAACTTTTCTTTTATCCAACAAAGAAAGGATGAAAAGGCCAGGAAAAGACCTTTCGAGATTGTTTCTTGAGTTCAGGGGGTAGGTTATGAAAAGGGAAGGTGTTAGCACCCTTTCCATCCGTATTTTTCTACAGGCTCTTAGTTGCTTGCTAGATCACTTGCTTTTTGTTTGAAAGTATGTTTGTGATGTGGTTTTTTGAAAGTATTTTGAAAATAATGTCTTTGTAATGGTTCTCGTCTCTATAAGAACGCGTACAAAGTGTTTTGTCTTTTGAAAAATGTTTCAAAGTGAAGTATTGGTGTATAAAAATATTTTGTTGTGAGCAAGCGAGCAACTAGGAGTAACCTACCTACTCAAAAGGTCTTAAACGTTCTTTTCCTCCTCCTTTAGATGTTGTTATCTTACCATTGTTTTGGTAAGAAACCCCATCGTTGGATGTGAAGGGACGGGCGCAGAACGTTTTGTATAGTCATAGAAGGCCACCTACGGGACATTTTAGCAATGTCGTTTAGGGACTAGATTGTTTACCGAAGGCAACATTGAGGGTCATCGAGGGACTACGATCTTTTATCGAGAGTCTTTGCTAAAATGCCCATATTCGAGGGAAATGACTATTTTCCGATAGGCAACAAAAGTGGGATTACCCTAAGGGTGCTAGTGTGCAAATGTGTTTGATTTACATGTATTTAGTCTTAATTAGGGTTATCTATTTGTTGGTTTCATGGTTTTCCATACACACCCTAATTATTAGCATTTATATTTGAGAGCGATAAATTGCAGAAATGTAAAGTCTCACGCTATTACATCATTTAGAGATGGGGATACAAGTTTACAAATGGGGATTTGCAACAATTTAAATCTTAATCGTCTATTACAACTATATCGAATTGTACAATATAAGAAAAGGAAAAGACTTGTTTTGAAAATGGTTTTTTGTCTTAATGAATTAGAAGAAAGGAAGGAAAGAATTAGTTAATAAAAAGAAAATATTTTTGTGTCTTTTTTATATTAATAAAAATAGTATTAATAATAAAATAAAACATAAAGGAAAAATAAAGAGAAATAGGATCAGCATGTTGCTGAAAGCAAAATAAAGAGGACCAGAAGTTCTGATGCCAGGCGCGATGTGGTTCGGAAAGAAACATCATAGGTGATCAAAAGTTATGGGTTGATGTCATTGGAATCCTGAAAGAAACGTTAGAGCACAAAAACAGAAGTTCTGGGTTGTGTTTAGAAATTGAGCAAAAAGTCAGAAGTCCTGTGGTGTGTTAAACAGTGAGTAAAAATCAGAAGTTCTGTGTTGTGTTAAATAATGATTGAAAATCAGAAGTTCTGTGCATGTTAACAGTAAGAAAATCAGAAGTTTAGTGCATGTTAACAGTAAGAAAGTCAGAAGTTTTGTGTGTTAAAACAATAAGAAATCCTTGAAGATTTGTGTGTTAAAATAGTGAAAAGAAAATCAAAAGTTCTTTGTTATGCTAAAACAGTGGGAAAGAAAATCCCAGAACTTCTGTGTTACACTTCAACTCCTTCCTTATATTAATCATCTCATTAGTAACTTATCTAGTTCTTAACAATAGCAAATCATAAAGATAAAAGTATAACAGCTCATAGAAGTTCTAATCCTAATTCTAAGCCTAGCTTCATTCAAGTTCTGGTCTATAGTTTTTTTTTACTTATGCAATGATATGGAAATCATCAATACTATGATATTTACATATTTAATGATGTTCTAAATGAAAAGATTCAAAGTCAAAAAGACTTACCTTGAATTTGGAACGTGTGTTTGGAACTTGAGTTGCTGCCTTCAGATGTTCTGAGACGGAACAGGAAATGCTATGTTCTTTAATTCAAAGGGAAGGACAAAGGTTTTGGTTTTGTTTGGGAATTCTGGATTTGCGAAGGTTTTACTATTTTCTTTTATCTCCTTGATGATTCTCTCTCTCTACAAAAGCCAGTCCCTTGAAAGTGTGATGGAGCAACTTATTTATAGGTGAGTTTGTTGTGTTTTTTTGGGGGAAAACAAATGAGATTTAAACCTTTTTGGCATACTGTTTCATTGCTTTTTAATCACAACTTTTGTATTCTAATTTGGTGAAAATATGGGGTATGAAAAAGTGCAGGCGTGGACCGGATCAGCAGCTGGTTGCAGGACTGTGCTATAGCAGGGCAGCAAGCTGCTTAAACGAGGTTTTGGGATTTTGTGATGTTCTAATCGCAGAAGATCAGAAGCGTAGCCTCCATATGCTGAAGAGTCATGTTCTGACCGAAGAACATCGCTTCCATATGTTCTGATTGAAGCATCATGTTCTGAACCGTGTTTACAAATTCTGATTGCACTTGCGTGAAGGCTGGCCCAGAAGTTCTGAAATATCATATTCTCCCAACACTTAGAAAATTTTCTAAATGTATAGAAATTTAATTTTTCAAGGCAATTTTTGATTTTAGATTTCTTGATGAATCAACTTCCTGTCTTGATGGAATATGATTGTTGGAACTTGATTTTTATTAAGAAGTCATAGTTTGACTTTTCAGTGTGCTTTTGACCATTTTGCCCTTGTGAATGACTTTCTTTAGAAAATTGTGATTTGAGACTTGAAACTTGCCAGAAGCAAACCTGGGGGTCTAGAATGATCCTTTGAGAAATGAGAGGGCAGATTTTGGGGTACAACATTCTCCTTCTGATTGTGCATCTGATATAGACTTAATGCATTTATGTGATTCTAATACGGCTTAAAACACACTCTACACCCAATTGTGAATCTGATACACACTTAACACGTCTATGTGATTTAGATATGACTTAAATACATCGCTTACATGAATGTGTATCAGATAGAGAATTAGCGCATTTATGCGATTCAAATACGGCTCAAGTACATTCCATGCCCAAATCAGTATCTGATACATACTTAACGCATTTTTGTGATTCTGATATGACTCAAACGCACATCTCACATTTGAGGCTAATTAAACACACTTCTACATAGTTGGCGCAACCCCTTCAGATCTAGCTAATCTTAGGGCGTAGGTGGTGGAGCTCGGAGATGTCCAAATCAATCCAAGCTAAGCCTCAGGGGAAGGGACGATGATCATACCCTTGGCCGCAGAACGGTCCTCTGTAATGCAGAGCATAGTACAAAGTAAGATTACATAACCTCAATTTCATCGATCCCAAACTTTATCTCAAAGAATGCAAGCAATTCACTAAATATGGAATACAAATCAGTATATTACTACAACAAACATTAAATAATTGAACGAGTATATCAACCAAAAATACTAGATAACAATATTTGGCACACTAGTTTTCAAAAAAGCAGGAAAATTCCAGTGGCACATTCATAATCTCATTGCAGTCAAATGTGTTGTTTCTTTTGTAAAGCAAAGTCGTGGATGCTCTCACTTCCAAAATAGGCATCCTGCTATAGTTGATAAACACAGGGGGTCTGACATAAACTCTAAAGTGGATAAAGACTTCAGAGATTAATGGATAAAGCGCGCCTGAATGAAAATTTGTAAGCGATGATAATGTTAAAGAAAATACCGATACAAAGCTCTAAAGATAACAATACTTAAAGCACCAAGGCAAAATATTTTATTAAAGATAAAAACTATTAACTCAAGGCACAAAGGCTTGGGAAAACTTTTAGGAAATAAGTAATAAAAATAAAAATAAAATAAAGTTGGAGCATTTAAAGTCGTGGCTATGAGATCACCTCTGTAAGTCACCCCAGAAGTGGACTTAAACAGGTCTAGTTCGTCAACAAAAATTATTGCACTAGGCAGAACCTTCTTTCCTGCATCTGCACTTACTTGTGGACGGTGATCACGTCCTACATTGTTTGATGTATATAGTCATGGAGCGCCTGACTCTTACTAGCCACCTCTTCCTAAAGAGTTATTAGGACATCTACATATTTTCGGTACTCTTCCACCTGGAGAGCCTTTTCCTTAATGGAATCAGAAGAGGTCTTGTGTAGCTTCTATTCATCTTGGAGAGAACCATCTAGTTCAGCCACATGAGCCACCAAGGTAGAAGGAAATCCATGTACTTTCACTGCCACTGCAAAGTGTTTACTACTTTAACCTCCTTCTGTAGTGTAATAATATCTTTCTGAAGCTTAGGTCACTTCATCTCTATAGCTTCAACCTTATCTTTACAAGTATCCCTCTCCTTGAAAAATACTAATTGGGGCCAAGAAATCACCCCGCCCAACAGAGACAAGAGAAAAATGGAACCAACTTTAAACATGCTATGAGCTAGCTGGGAAGCCAGTTCCATCTTATCCCCCTCGAGGATATTCTTTACGAAGGATAAATCCAACATCGAGACAATAGAGGCAACCTCCTCGGGAGTGCCTAGAAGCCAAGAAAACAAAATGTCTGGTATATTGATAAAGGCAGTTACCTCTCTGAAAGAACCGTCCTCAATGATGCGAGTCAGTCTTGGAGAAGCCTTAGTCCAAGGAGATTGTTGTTTCACTTCCCGAGTCTTCTTTGTTGAAGCCAGGGACGAAGTTGGTTCCCTTATCATCAAAGTGGTCACAACATCTGCAATATGGTCCAACTTGAGCACATGAGCCGAAAAAGAAGTTCTAGTATTTACCATACACCAAGCCAAAAAAATCCAAATAAAAATTTGGTTTTAAAATTAATTTAAAAGAGTGCACGAAGGTTTTTGATATAGATCGAAAACGTTGTCTATACGAACCTAATTATTGGAGCTCGGATATGAAAAATTAAGTGATATATGGAAAGAACAACACAATAATGGATTTATAAACTTGAATTAAGTAACACACTATTATTCATTTATAGCAAGTTACTATTAAAGCTATTTCCAATGATAACAAGCAAAAATAACGAACTATGCAATTTGTCAAACCTAGGCGTGCAACCGAATTTTCCAAATTTTCATTTGAGTTGTGTTTATTTAACAAAACACTTAATCAAAAGTGATTATGAGCAAACCAACAACCAATTCAAAACAAAAATATCCACGAAAAAATTCTTACGAGTCAATCGTTTAATCAATGTTATTTGACAAATTACTTAATGAAAATAAAAGCAAGTAAAACAATAAGAAAAAAAGACACGAGTATTTGTTTAGGAAGTTCACCAATCATCCTCACTATAGCTACGTCTCCCCCAATTCCAATTTTGGAATTAGGATAAATTCTTACTATGCAAAAAGTCGTTACAAGAGAAGTGTTCTAAGAGAAACCTTACAAACCATAACCATTTGTTGTTGATTCAACCCCTTCTCTTATTTTGATCTTAAGAAAGACCAAGACACAATAACGTACCAATTCAACCCCTCCTTTCTTGAATGTATTGCACGAAAACCCCAAAATCTACCTAAGATCTTGAAGGACAAATGCAACACCCCAAAATAATTAGATTATTCATTTAATTATTTAACTAATTTATGAAGAGTATTTGTGATGTATTTGTGAGTATATATGATATTTTGATGATTATGATGTGTATGTGATGCTATGTGTAGTATAGTAGAAATTAAGAGATATTAGACGTTTTAATAATTTTAGATAATTAGTTTTAATTATTTAGAATTATTATTAATAAAATAAATAGAATATAAGATGTGGAAGCGCCAAGGGAAAAGTGGTAATTATGAATGGATAAGTGAGGGTAAGATGGGAAGACCATAGAAAGGGTCCAAGGGTTAAACTAGGAAAAAAAGTATCAGTGTCTCATTCTGTGCAATCATGAGAATTTGGAAAAAGTAGTGAAGAGAAGCTATGGCACAAAGAGGAAAGAGGTAGAGCTCGATAGAACGCGAGGAAGAGAACCGATATTTTCTGCTAGGAATCTAAGGTAAGGGGTTATGCTTATTATTATGATTGATATAAGGTTTAGATGTATATAGGTATTTGGAGTTTTTAGATGATGTGCTTATATGATGAACCCTTGATGAAATTGTGATAATTTGATGCTAATGATGTTATAAAATGATGTATATGACGCCTACTATGATGTGTTATTATGATGTTGTGAAACCATGATGAATTATGTGGATTTGGGTCTGTTATATGGTGAAATTGTAAGGATTTTGAGACCGGTGTAGTGCCGAAAATGCACAAGAAATTTATTGTTAACGTTGCCTCACCGGGTAAGCCGTATGCTTCACCGGGCGAAGGCGCTTCAATCAAGAAGCACTAGGCGAGCAAGCAGGCGAAGGGAATGGGAAGAAAACAGATCCCCTAGAATTTGTATGAAGGATGGTGTCTCGCTCCAACTTCGTCGGGCGAACTAGAGGCGAGAGTGAGCTCGCTGGACGAGCGAGTAGGATCTTCGGGTGAAGGAAAAGAAGGAAAAATGGTGCTCCTGGAATTTGTATGAGGGGTGGGTTGTGACCCCAGCCTCGTCAGGTCAGCCTCAAGTGAGAAAGCAGCTTCATCGGGCGAGCCTTAGGCGAGAGGCATATGTCAGAATTTTGTAAACGCCGTAACTTGAGTTTCCGGACTCCGTTTGATGCATCATTCAAACCGTTAGGTAGATAATATGATGAAGTATAATTAGGTAGGATAAAATTAAACAATAGATGTATATTCCCAGTACTTTAGTAGGATTAAACTAGACCTTGGAATGGTAAAATGTGCTGATACTATGATGAATTAATGTGATTATGCGATTGATATAACATGATATATATATATATATATATATATATATATATATATATATATATATATATATATATATATATATATATATATATATATATATATATATATATATATATTCGTATGATGGATTAATGTTATTGTGGTGATGCCATGTGTATTTCTATGTATGTAATGATATTATGATGATTTCATGAATGATGATGCGTTTTGACTAGCAGTGGTCATGTGTTATTGAGTTGTTGCGCATCATACATTCATGGAATATGTTAAGACTTTGGTCCAGTGATGGCCTCAATCCCATAGTGTGGATTGAGTGTAATATTGTGAAGTGCTCCAGTTCCAAGCGGGAATCGATCCTATGGTGGAGATCTTTGGAGGAAGATGACTTGGTCATTAGTGAAGTTTTGGTACCACATGCATGAATTTATGACGTTGCATTGCATTATTTGTGATATTGCATAATGATTGATTAAGTGATATTGATGATGATGTGATTAAGTGATGTTGATGATGATGTGATTTAAGTGATGTTGATGATGGATATTAATTTGATGATACTATGAAATAATTGTTGTGTTTACAAAAGCGTGAGTATAATTTATGAAGTATGATGATATATGGATTTTTGTAATGAACTGTTGCGACACTACTATATTTGTTCCATATATCTTTTATAGTAATTTGTGATTACTCATTCTTTTTACTTGGAAATGTTGCCTCTACTCGTGGGTAACTTGCAGGTAATCAAGAATAGTTCGTTGAAGCTTAGAGGATAGCTTCGGAGTGCGATGTTTAATTCTGTTAATTTAGAAGGTCTTGCTCTGATATGTAATATCGGGATTGGGAACGTTTGTTTTGAATTTATTATGTTCTCTTGCTTATTTTGAGATGATGAGTTACCTTTCATGGTATTTAATTGTTTGATTTATGAATCATGCACAATGAAGTGTGAGAAATACTCTACGAAGTCTTTTTAATAAAGATGTTTTGAGACTATGATTCTGGTGCGATAATTTTGAATTTGATATTTGATGATATTAAAGGAATAGTTGTTTTGAATGTTTTGAAAACCCGTGTTACAGAGCAGGATATTTTATATGATGTCTATATGAAGATGTGACATCCTTGTTGGTGATATTATTTGAATTATTTGCGTAAATTATACGTGAAATATATGTGGGTTTAGAAGGGTGTTACAACAAACCCGCGTTTTTTCCAGATGAAACCCCATGCAAATCTCGAGCCAATATTCTCGACTACACAAGAACCTAATCGGACTTTATCAAACCTCGCCTAGATGGCACCCTGGCAAAAGATGATTATGTGTGATTTATCAGTGTATATGTATAGGCTGGATGTTGAAAGTGAAGAGCAAATGTAGTATGTGTTTATAGTTTCATCAAGTTGGAATGATGTATTTATAGTTTAAGAAGTTTAAATGCAAAGAGGAAATTTTTGGAATTAAAAATAATTGAAAATTGACCCATTTAAACAACGTGTGCCGACCAGAAATTCGTATGTGTCGACACATAGGTCAAAAAACAACTGCATGTGCTAGACTGAAAATCATATGTGTCGGCACATAAAATAAGAAAAGTTGAAAGTTCTAAAATTTTCAGTATATGTCGGCCTGTATGGATTCATGTGTCGGCCTAAGACCTCTAGAGGATACAAGCTCTACTGAGTTACATGTGTCGGCCTGAAACACATATGTGTCGGCACATGCAAATAGAAATTATGTAAAAACTTGTTTTTCAAGACTTTGGTCAATTTTGAAATAGTTTTTAATGGTTCCTAAGACCCCTAATGCAAAGGAGTGCCACAAGACATATAGATATCATCCAATATACAGAAATGTTAAGTTTTCCTAGTTTTGACATCATACAAAACATCTAATGGTGAAGTTGTACCCACAACATCGTCAAGGTGATATAACATATCCAGATTGCTTATCTTATCCATACTATCTGCAAAATACTATCACACATGTTAAAAAAGCATGGAGACTCTGCTATCACCAAAAAGCGTTCTCTTTTCTTCAAGACTAATTTCACTAAAGATGGTATGAGTATCAACTCCCCTTTTCCTCACATTGATAAATAGCACCTCACCACAAGTGAACTCGTCTTCATAGCCAAGCCCTTGAAACCAAGATTTCATTTTCTTCTTCGTTGTCACCTTGTCGGGAGAAAGAGAACCCGACTTAGTACAATAGGAGTGAGTAAACAGGTTAAAATGGAGCTTAGACCAATATTTCAGATATGAAAAGTAACTGTAGCAAAAAGAATCGATAGGGATATAGTAGAAAATAAAGAGAGTTGTAGGTGTGAGGGGCTTCACCAATATGAAATGTCCCAGAAAATCGCCTCAATCCAGAGCGAATGGGTTGAACCAAAGGTTGGCAGAATGGAAGTATATAAGACCCTGATTACAAAAGTTATCCAAGGAAGTACGCCTCAGATGAAAAATACAAAAAAACAATCCAAGAAAGGGGGAAATCTTAAAATGTTTTAGGACGACTAGCTCAAATTCAGAAAAGGGCAGTCAGAGTCTCATTCTTGTAAACATGAATGTTGGGACAAAATTGGTTTATACCATATACCTTAGATTTTGATGATAACAAAGTATTTAAAGAAAAATTGGGTAAACTAATTCAAGTGTGCAGGTACAAATATTAATATATTGATTGAAAGTCAGTGTGAGTGCAATATTTTCTCTTAGATGTTTTGAATGGTGTCAAAATTAGGTAATATGTAGTATTTGTACATTGGACCTTATCTTTCTATTTCTAGGTTGCATTCTCATCTTAGAACACTTATAGAACAAGTCAAAAGAAATTGGACAGGTAAAAATGTCAAAAATATGCATTTTCACGAAAAACCATGTTTAAAGTTGACTCACCCGTGTTAGGAGTCGACTCCCTCTGAAGCAAATTGAAAAGAATTTTTTCTGACAAAAA